CTTATCTAAGCATTATTTCCTATCTTGTTCATTTGCGGTTTTGCAGCTGAAGATGATGGTTCGGTAGAACCATCGAAACTAGTCCTGTGAAAATTTTGTGAATTAACGCTGATTTTTGTTGTTTGACTTCTGAATCAGTATTTATTCGGCGTGTTATTGTGTCTTAATCGTTTGTCTAATTAAAACGTATTTCGTTAATTAATTTGTTAATCGTTTAAAATCCCCATATATATATGCAATAAATATTCCTGCATCGTTATATCTAATTTATATCATTACATTAAGTCGACAGGATTTTTCACCTCGCTCTGTCTCAATGAATATGTATCAAAATGTCTAAAAATGAAATGAAACATGGCTTTATGACAGAAACTCGAAGCTTATTCACTTTAGAGTGGAAAAATGTTTTCGACTTAGACCATGGTCACATTGTGCTCTTTGTTGCCCGAAAAATATATTTGCTTCGTCATTATGTTAAAATCGCATCGATAGAATTTCAAGAATGGAATTTGTACGCTGAACCCTTTATACTTTCCCTCTAAATAAGTGCTGAAATTTAATAGACAAAGAAAGTCCGAAAAGCGCAGTTGTTGCTGTTGTTGACTAAAGCTCACTTGTCTGACGTATAGTTAGCCCGAGCACACGAAATTCCTCGTAACAAGGAGCGCAAGATTACGCCTGCCTTAGGCAACAGTCTTAAGCACCATACATGCTATAGTGTGGATTAGCTCAGTTTCGTGCTCAATTTTGAAGGAGTTGAAGAACGTATTAATTCAATATTTGTTTTAAATAATTTTTAAGTTTCAAAAATAATTTTCATGTTATTTCATACGTTAATATTAATGCTTAAATTAAGAAATGTATTGATTCTTTAACAATATTATAAATTTATCCAAAACCAAAAGCTTTAATAATGTCAGAAGAAAAATTTGATTTTTTCCCCGTAGATAAGAATATATTTACCTGTCCTGCATTTGATCCAACAAAAGATAGTTCTTCAAACAAATGTTTTATGTTTTTTTTTTTAAACGATGTAATACAGATGGTATTTCTGACAAGATAAATTAACTATGTTTCCATACTTTTGAGAAGCAGAAGCCTTGTCATTTGACATCCGCGAATGTGCTGAAATTAAGGATTGGATTGTATTAAACGGAGATTTTATAATTTACTTTTATAATTCAGAAAATATTGCATTTCATAATTTTGTTATGTTTAAAGATTATTTAGCTTTAGGACCAATATAAACAAATTATTATTTTGTTATGTTTAAAAGATTTTAGCTTTAGGGAAAAGGATATAAACCTTGATTTTTTGCAATTTTTGAAAAAATGTATTCTGTGTTTACCAAAAAAAAAAAAAAAAAAAAAAAATTACAACTTACGTTTCTAGTTCAGAAGTTGTTGTATTTTATTAAATTGTTGTGGTTAAATACTATTTAGCTTTAGATCCAACATAAATAACTGTATGGTTTATTGCATTATTTTGCTTGAAAAAAGTGTACTGTGTGTTTACATAAATAAAATTTTATAACTTACGTTTCTACTTTAGAAAATGTTGCATTATTTTGCTTGTTAAACATTAGAAATATACTTTGTATCTTGCAACACATTATATTCACATTATATTTCTTAAAATTTCATTAAATTTATTAATTATTTCATTAAAATGAATTGCATTTTTCAATATTGTCGAAATACATATTTTTTGTGTTTTATATAAAAGAAGTAAAACTATTTTATATCTTTTAACTACTTAATCTGTAAAATAAAACACTTTCACTTTTAATACTGTAATAATCAATAGTTCTGGAGAGAAAGCTTTAATCTCTTATCTGCATGGGTTGTGTTCTTTATGTCTTTGATAAAAGTGTAACTGTAAACTAAAACATTTTTGTTTGTCCACATTTAATCTGCGAAAACAAACAATAACTGATAAAATCGCATTTTACCGTTACGACTGCAGCTTTCAATAAATGTATTTTGATGTCATGAACGCGTCATAAACCCTTATATTTCTCTGCAGTTCTTTATTCCAGAAAGGGTTTAAGTCATTTATATTATATTGCTCTAGGTACTAAATAACTATTTGCCATAGTCCTCAGTAAGTCTTTTCTCGTACACTAAAGTTAATTCGGAAGTCGCCGTGGGAGTTAACATCTCATCCGAAAAGCAATTGGTTATTTTATCCCTTATCTTTTAGATGATTAGAAGATGGATACTTATAAGGAATACTTTGCAACTTTTCTATTTAAGCTAGCTTTTATCATAAGAACTTAGGTTACAAAATTGCGTAGTACGGATGCAGAAAGACTAATTTTCTTAGGATTGCTAAGAAATGTGGATGTTTTAAATATTCTAATTAGGCTTTCGAATAGCATTTGAGATTTTGTATTCTAAATATTTTTCTTTCTTTTGCTTTAAATGTCTTGAGCTATTCCATGCATTAATATAACTTGAAAATGAAACTTTTTTGTGATCACATCACAAAATAGTTTATCTATTCCTCAGATGCATATTTTATGGAGTACCTTCTTTCTTATTCTGCCATTTAAATTGATGTAACACTACAGAGGAAATATATTGCATAAACACAATTTACTAACTGCTTATCATCTTTGTTAACTTTTCGAAGTTATATGTATCAGTCTCATTATTAATAATTTAAGCCGCCCGACTAGATTTAGCAGTTTTAAAGGAAACATTTTAAGTATAATTACAAGCAAATTTTTGCATATGTTTACATACATATACATACACATACATACACAGATATATATATTTATATTATATTAACATTTCTCGAGCTACTTAGTTAACAATGTTCTTTTTTACTTGGCTTTATTCAAGCTGTCACTAATTTATCTGCTCTGCTTGCAAATTTACACAATTTTTCAAAACATTAAGTTGAACTACAGGAATTTGTAGCATTTTCATTACAAATGTGGCTTTGTTGCCTATACTGATAAAATAAAGTTTAAGTATTTCTTTTTATTTATTTTCAAAGAATCATGGGCATGTAATTTGCAGACTATGCAAATTCAGAAAAGAGATTTCTCTATATTTTTTTCTATTCAGCTGTTTATAAGCAATGTATTTATAGATATTACAGACGTTCTGTTGCCTAAGCAATTAAAAATAAAGCAAATTTCTTTAAGTACAGACAACACTGCATTTTAATGTTTAAGACATTATCTTATTGGCCTTATTCGTAAGGAGGATGCAATTAGCATAAACGAGTAGAGGATATAAAAGAAAATTATCTCCATTTGTGGAAAGAAAATTATCTTCTCAATTATTATTTGGATTGCTTCTGATTACATGTTTGTTTTTGCACTTGATCCTCTTTAAGCGAAAATAAATTTTACTATATTTAAGTCTTTTTACTTATTTATGATTTTGATGCCATAATTTTCAAAAAAAAAAAAAAAAAAAAAAAAACTTTTCTCTACTGTGCATGATCTACAAATGTATTAATTAATTTGTTTTTTCACATTTGTGTTTTTTACACGGTCTGCTCTAAATAAAACATTTTAAAGATATTTTTAAGCTTATTTATGATTTTGATGCTAAAATTTTATAATTCTAAGCGCTGCTTACGACGGCCTGTAGCGTTCAAGTTAAAGAGACACACTACTTTTATTTATTTTCTAATTTTAATTTTTAGAAATTTATAAATTTTTAAATTTTTTTTTTCTTATTTTTGACTTTGGCATATTTTGCCCCTATCATGCAGTTTACACAGTGCTTCTGATTTTTTTAATAAGTTTTGTGCCTAATTGAAATGGGATGGATGTTAAACATATTTATTTTAATTTATTTTGCGTAATATATAATATATATATATATATATATATATATATATAATCGGAATGAGTTCTTTGGTTCTCTGCATTGGTTCTTAATCCCTTCTATTCACGGAAATGTTTGGGCCTAGCTTGAATTGCCGGTTTGGCATCGCCTTATTGCTCGAGTAAAGGACGAAACACCTTCGTATTTATTTCTTAATTATTGTTCATTGAACGGGAGTTGGTTTGTTCCCCTTGAAAAGTCAACTTATTTCCGATCAATGACAATGATTACATTTTATTTAATTACTTGCTATTAATTTATTTCTTTTTACAATTGAAATTTTGTTATTTATGATTTAATTGAAGTCCCCGTTAAACATTTTTAACATTTTTCGAAATTGAACTTATTAAGTATGAAATCACTCTTTTAAGATAATTCTACTAAAATTAATCTTGGGAGACAATATAATCAATATTCTTTAGTAAATAAATTATTATTAACTTACTTTGCAGCAATTGCGTAAGTAGTAGAATCACTCGACTTCGCACTAAGTGAATTTAAGATCATACAACGTTATATATATATATATATATATATATATATTATTCATATATTGCAATTAATAGGAATGTAAATCGAAATCCAATCTTGCAACAAAACTATAAATTCGAAATAAGTAGCATTGGATTATTCATTTACTGAACTTGATAATTTATTGCATTTTTTATTACGGTAACGATTTCAAAAACGTTTATGGTTAGCGACAAAAGTAATTGAATTTCAAAAATTACATTACTTATGTGATGATGCAAATCAAATTTCTAGAATATAATAACAGAATTAGGAGCCCCGTTAACGCAGTGGCTAGGGCGTCGTGCAACAGCACCACAGATCCAGGGCTCGATCTCTAGGCTGGGCAATATTGACTCAGCCTTTCATCCCTTGAGTGTATCGATAAAGTGAGTACCAAGTTCGCTTGGGGACTAAATGCCATAGCTCTTGCGACAAGGTGACCACTTGTCCGCGGCATATGCACGCAGGACGGGACCCTCGGTCTAGAATGAAGATATCAGAGCACTGCCGGCCGTAGCTCTCGAAGGGCTGTTGTGCCGCGGAGTTTAGTTTAGAGTTTAGATTTACTAACAGTGTTATGTCATACAACAATATTATTGTTAAATAAAATTTTACAAAATAAGAAAATATATTTACCTGTTATGATCAACCGTCCACCGGTTGTGCTTTCCTTTGTTTGCCTGGTCAGCGTATTCCGGACTTGGCACTTGTACAAAAAATGACTATCCGTGTATTCCACAACTCTGATGTGGATTTCTCCAGTTAGATAAACAACATAACGATCATTATCTAAAAAAAAAGAAAAGAAAAGAAAAGAATTTGTTTATATAGTTCAACAATCTGAAACATTTTGCCATCCATACTAAAAACGTTGATGATGCAATCATCTTTGCATATGGAATGAAGATATTAATGAAATAATCTATATACAAATTAAAACTATATTGGAGACATAATATAGATCCGGTTCATGGAAGTTTTCAGGCTTTTGCACACCTGAAACACGAACTGTATATTGTAATATTTTAGATTAAGAGACACACAGAACGTAATTTTCTCATTTATTGTCTTAATACTTAATGCATATCATGCAATATTTTATGAAAGAATTATTATCTGCCCTTCCCCCCCCCAAAAAAAAAATAAAGAAAAAGCGGGGGAGATCGAATATTTTTCAGTTCGAATTCTGATCCATTTTAATAATTTCTTCAAAACATCTCTGTTTCTTTAAAAGTCTCAATTGTTTATTTTTTTTTAATTATCTGTCTTATAGTGGTAAATAATTACTTCGAAAGTGAGGATTTTTTGAATTCAGTATCTGCATTAGGGAAGACTCATTTCAAAACGTATAACTCTTTTTTCATTTTGAGTACTACTGTCTAGATAGACCATACTCCGGATTTTCAATGATTTGTGTTTCAAACGTCAAAAAGGCACAACCAAGCCGTTTTTCTTCATCGTGTTATTAAAACTGCTGTATGCTGAGATCATATTTTTGAGACCAGGGATTTTGTTGGAGTTGAGTTTTCTGTGTTCATGTTTCTTTCCTTTCTTTAGGATTCAATTAACTTCATGTACGGCTAAAAAAATACGGTTATAAATGGCGTTTTCTGGAAAAGATTTGCAAACATTTAGTACACGTATCAAGATGAGAAGTTTCATGACGTTTTAAATAATAAATTGTAGCGAAGCGTTTCAAGCAGTGGTTTAACTTAAACGTAGGTTCAGCATATTTTCGTGTATGTATTAAAATTAGTATAACTTGATTAAAGTTAAGAACATTCAACACATGGTTCTGAAGGAAGATATTTTGTGAGATACTTGAATTCCGAGAAGAGAATTGAAAAAACGAAACTCATGAAGCATCTTTTCTCGGAATTAAATTCCTTAAGATATGAATAATGAATACACTTAAAATCAATTTCATGTACGTCCTCTTATTATTATACTAGAAACTTATTAATGTTCAACATAAGTTTTATATGAGCAGCTTCGTGCTGTTTTAAAATAATAAGTAACTTTTTTTTAAAAGAGGAACAGACATTTGAAATATCACGAAATTGCCTGTGTCATTACGAAACGAACACCTTTTTATTTTCTGTTTTTTACTCCATTTATCATTTGTCATCGAACATAGTTTGCAACTAACATATAACCAGTATACATCCTGACACCTAATACGTTCTCTTTTATTCCACTCAAACCAAATGAAACTGGTTTTTTATAATTATACCTTCCAGCACGCGCGTATTCGCAAAATTTACGGCAGATTCAGTTTTTAATGCACATTTTTCGCATATCGAAGCTGAGACATCTGAAGGTTATTTTTATTCCTCCTATCTACCCTTCCCCACATCATGAATATGCCAACAGGAAGTCGTTTGATTTTTTTAGCTGGGCTTTTGTGCTACGTGGCAGCTTTTTCATAAAGGTTAAGACACGCGCGTGGTCGTGTTTTAAAATTCGGAACATATTTTTTTCTCAAATATTTTGTAATTTTGTGTTATTAATTGTCGTGTATTATTTTAATTTGAATACATTTGGTTCTGTAAATTTTATATCGGTTTTCATTGCAAAGAAATATGTGCAACCAGCAGCTGATTTTGCTCAGATTCTTCAAGAATTATCTGATGGAGAAAAGGAAGACAAGGAAACCTTCGGATGGGAGAACAATAGCGATTTCCATTCCTTACTTTCCTTTATTTCTATTTTTTAGAAATAGATAAATATATTAAAGTTAGTGTAAAGTGTGTTTTGTAACCAGTAAGAAGTAATTTCCTTGCAGAAGTAAGTAATGCTATACTTACTTTTTTTCCTGCCAAGGTGTTTTCCTTTTTTATTGTCTATATCTGTCTTTGATGAATATTAAAATTAGCTTCGATTTTAAAATATAATTATTAAATAATAAACTTAAAATTTTCTATATTGAAATACATCATTGCATTTCCATCTCACTAACATAAGAACTAAAAAAAAATAGTTTTATTTGAATGTGATATCATTTGTATTTTGGAATAAAAAGATTAATATTTTATTGACACATTTATTATCAATATTCACTCACTTCTGTCGTTTTTCGTGCCAAAAATGGTAAAATAAAATAATGGATGTGTTAAAAAATACGACGCGCGCGTTCTGGAAGGTTAAATCTAGCCCAATCGGCAGAGCTATCGCAGATTATTTTGAAAGGGAGACCCGCATGCTGTCAATATGTTCGGACTTATATGAGGACTTATAATGTTTAATAAAAATTTGAGCTCTGTAAATCCTGTGTAAGTGAGTAGTGATGATGGATATTCATTTATGTTAAGAAGCAGTACATTTTACTAACTTTATTTATAGCTGTTTATTTTTAGTTGACTATTTATTTGCTTACTTTTTTAACATGTTCCTGAAGATTTGTTTTCTATGTGTAAGGACTATCTTTATCTCCAGGTTTACACTAATGACTCCAAATTAAAACGAGCAAATGAAGAAGTACCATTCGAAATTGCATACCGAGGTTTAGGTAGAACGTGACCTCAAATATGAGAAAATGACGCCAGTGTATGATTCCTTTGAAAACTGATAAGGTCGTTAAATTATAATACAATTTTTCTACTATAAAACTATTTTGTATAAATGCTACATAACACATAAATATACATATGTGACCTAAATAATGACGTATGATACTACCTAAAGGTACGTGATTTCAAATCTTTGGTGATTGGTATATTTAAAGATCGAGTTTTGAAAATAAATTGATTGACATTGTTCAATGTATCAGAAAACTTAGAACTGATTTTGATGCAACGAAAGAGTGTTTTCAAATATATTTCCGTAAAATTATATTTAATAAAACAATATTGTTCCTTCCGTTCCGTTTGCCGTTGTCGCCATGTCTAGCTTGCAAAGCTGCAAGCTGTATACTGGCTATCTTCATTTGATTGCTTTATGTAGCAATGCAGGGACAGAAATACCTACGTGAGTCTTGGAGACAAGATATAATACACAAAAATACAATTTTTTCTCATAAACTGGAATACTATATAGATCATATTTACAACCATTTGCTTTGCATTAAATGAGCGATGAGGATGAAGTCAATATCATGCTATGCTGAGATTTTGGACAGAGCAGATGCGAAAGCACATTTAAGCTTTATGTAGAAAAATTTTGGTTATTATTGTTCCTTTCATAATAAAGCCCTTACATATAATTTTTTTATATAAAAAAGTCTATGTTTTGTTTTTCTACAAATGGCGAGCACATGCTCTCAATGACTCTCCTCAGAAGTGAGAGACTTTCCATACTTGTATTGTGCAAGACAAACGTAGGTTTAAACAAAAGGGCACATAATCTATTGAGATTTTTCCGATGGAGCAATTTTATGAGTGTAACAAATCTTCTGTTCAGAAAAGTACCTCCATAGCTCAACTATACAAGTACTTTTTTTTTCATAGAATTCGGTTTTAAATTCACGAAATAAACCTATACAATACCGCGGAGTACGATAAACCTTTCTATCCATGCTTTTTATAACTTTGAAAGAAAGAGATGCCCCACGATCTTCATCATTGTCCTCAGAAAACTGGAAATACATTTAAGCAAATAATACTGATGTCATCTTCGTCCGGAAATACATTTAAGCAAATAATACTGATGTTTAGTTCATTGGACATATTTAAGTGGAACATTGTTATAATTTAATATGGGTAAATGCTGTATGTAAAATCTTAGCTTTCTATCCTGGGCATGTTCGTTAAAACCATGGTAAGCTATATTGAATCAGAAAGGATAGCTGTTTAAAAATTATTAAAAACAAAATTGTATCAATTTCAAAATTTTAAATACTTGTCTTTTTACTTCACTATTAAGCGTAAAGCTATATACGTCGAATTATAACAAATGTGGAAAAATAAAGGTGCGTTTTCAGAATTAAATGATATAACATGCATTACATATAACATGAATTATTATATAGAGTTAAACTAAAGTCATCAACTTGCCTAACGGAAAAAAAAAAAAAAAAAAAAAAAAAAAAAACCTGGATTCAATAAAGATGAAATTTTATGAACGTTTTGCTTCTTACACTTGTTGAACGTTTTGTTTCTTTGATAATTACACATGTAAATTGTACAAATTTCCCAAAAATCTTCTCTGGGTTTATTGCCCAAAATAGCATATGCTCAGGATATCATTAATTAAATTTAAACAACATCTAATAAAGAAGAATAAGAAAATTGATAAATAAGAATTTATTTTGGCCAAATTCTAGTATAATAGAAGTTAATCCTCATTACTCAACTTAATGATGCTAATTCTGATGATAAATACCCGCTGTTATTTAATTATATTTGAGACAAAGAACATGAGATTTCTATGCTCGGGAAGAATTAAGGGGAATAATAAAAGATTCATATGAGATGTGAAGAAAATCACGAAAACCTGAATAATCCTGTACAATTCCAGGAAACTGAATAAGAAGTATTAACAGTGTTTTGTTTGTTTACTATCAAGAGACCAATAAATGATTAACCCCTAGTGTACGTGATGATTCGATGTACGGGGGAGATGAACGCGTGGTAATTGACCCGTCAATCTACTCCTGCCTTCAATTCTGATCCAATTGAACTGTAAACTCAAATAGAAGGAGCCTGGCAAACGATATCACAGGAGCAATACCCAAATCCTTTTGATTTGATGCCACGTTACAGAGAAGTTCCAGTTACCAAACATGGCGTCTTCACTACAGATCAATTTTGTGCAAGTAATACAGTTGACATGAAGTTTTATTCATTTATTTT